GTTGATAACAATCTGTCTTTAACTGTAAAATAGTAATCTGATGTAATGATGGGAGAAATAAACTTCCCAGCTGACCTGACAGAAAAACACGTTCTTGTTGAATAGATATGAACAGAGTCAACAAGCCATAAAAGCATTTGGCTATCAAGAAATGATGCTGGTTTCAGTGACACTTAATAATCATAATATTTTAAAAAACAAATTAATTAGGAACTAACATCATCTCAGTCCCAGCCTCACAGGTCAGGAGGAAGAAGAGGTAACCAGTCTGATTTCTTGCTCAGTCCTATCATGTCCTGGCCTGCAGCGTATGCTCTTTAAACGGTGAAGGATTGAGCAGCAAAAATTCTGAAGATTTGGTTTCTATAAACATAAGAAGGGGAAGCAGCAACTCATAGTAACCCTAATTTTATGTACTATCAGCTACAGCTACTCAAAACCAGCTGAAAAATAGTTATACCCCTCCTTTCTAGTTCAGTTTAAATATTTCGAAGTATTTATAATGTATGTCCTTCTTCCCTTTTTAACTGGCCTCCTTGTCTGTGGTTTTATTTATTTAAAGCTTTAATTTATATCTACAATTAAAGAAGATTTTTCCTAAGACTTCAAGGAAATATTTTTCTGTGGATATTGTATTTTAAAATAGAATAATATGTCTTATTAAGAGGTACTTCATTAGAAACTCTTCCAGGTGGTACAGATCTACCATCAAAGTATCACTAAGAGCTATTTCTTGTGTAGCCATATATATATAACCATATATAACCATAAAAAGATGACTAGAGGAGTTTCTCTTGGGGATAGTTGACTGCGTTTCCATTTTATTAGGAAAAGCTAGAGTTTCTGAAAAACTTTCTGCTGGACTCTAAGCATAAATATCTCTTTATCTTAGTATGTAAGATGAAACTGCTGCCTGCCCATTTGCATCTAGTCCCTAATGATCTTGCAGATGGGTATTAGCAGAAATAAGAGCTCTGTATGTTGTGCTTTCCATTTATATCCAGTATCAGTTGTAGTGGAAAGGGATCCAATTTGCATTTCTGTTGGATATAGTTTAAATTGTGGTTTATAACTTGTCTTTAACAGTTTTGCTTCAGTTTCCATGTTTTCTGAAGGGGGAGATTAGAGTGGATGCTTCATTATATTAAAGACAAAAGACATGGTATAGAAACAAAGTTATTTTATATAGGCAAAATACCCAACAGACCAATGAAACTTGATTAGATACCTTATTTCACATTTTTTTTTGTCATATATATGTGTATTTACATATTTTTTGTTAGCTTTAGCACATCTGTGGTCCTCTAAAAAACTTCCTGCATTCAATGAGGTGTAGAAATGTGGATAGGCTAAAGAAAAAAGTATGATGGGTGAAGAAAACATCAAAGTATGTCAAGGAGATATACAGTAAATGCTGTGGAGGAAACCTCATTCCCCAAGCTGAGCATTCAGCAGATTTTCACTTAAGCACATTTTATCCGCTAAATATTATGAATTCTGTGTTTGTATAATTTTCTACAAAATAGCTTTTTCCCATGAAAATTTGGAAGTATGCCGTTGGACTGGATTTATGTTATCAGACATGAGGGTCAGGCCCTGGCACACATTACCCACAGGACCTGTGGCTACCCATCCCTGGAAGTGTCCAAGGACTTGGAGTAACCTGGCAGAGGGTTGGAGTGGTAAGTCCTTTAAAAGACCCTTTCAACCCAAAATATTCTGTGATACCAGATCACTTACCCCATGATGGGAACCTCTCTTCTACAGTTGTGTTATGCTGACAGTCACCCACATTGGTTTTGACAATACTACTTTAATTTTGTCCCCCTGTGTCTGTGTCTGGTCACAGAGAAGATATAACAGATTTTGCAGGCAGTGTCAGTCATATGCACGCTTCCCTTCTCTCATAGCCTGGAAATTTAAGGTCTTTGAATGACTTAGCGATCTCTAGGCTCCTGAGCCTTGCATACTGGACTGCTTGCACACCTGCTTGTTGTATTGTGTTGTTTTGCTCTCCATTGTATTGTGTTTAATGGTTTGCTCCCCTCTCCCCTCTGTTTTTGTTACAATGTGTTATCCCAGTTGTCACTTCTTCTATGTTCCCCTTAGCTCCCCTCCTCTGGGCCTTGTCTGTCACCTGGCTACTCCTCTCAGCTTCTAGAAAACTCAGGGAGAGTCATAGAGTGATAAGGCAGGGACAGGGGAGGTCCCTCCCCAAACATCCTCATTTGTTCTCCCAAATGCCCCTCCAATGCTGTCACACTCCCCCCTTGTTCCCTATTGATTTGTGATCTGTCCCCTCCCTTTGTTCCTCCCCTGTACTTAAACTGTTGATGCCCCTGCCTTGGGGGCTCTCTTGGAGCAGCACCCCTGAGGTTTGAAGTCCCTGTAGGGACAGAATAAACCTTGGGTTTCTGCCCTCCTTGAGAACCTGACTCCCACCTCCTCCATCACTGTGACAATCTCTTCGGATGAGGGAGAAATCCCTAGCCCCTCCTCCTATTCAGGGGATTTGGAGGGGTGTCTCCCTGCAGGTCAGCCGTGTCTGGCTAGTCTGGATGGGTGGTCACTCCAAAAGGGACACCGCAACACCTGCTTTCTAATTTAAAAAGGAGATGTTCAGATGGCACATGGCAATATTTGTTGCATCTCTCTGGTCTAGAGAATATTGTTTCTTGAATCTGTTCACATCACTATTTTTGGAGATACTAGCATTTCCATGAAAGCAGAATATAATGGCTTCCCCAAATCATACTTCACCTAAATCCAGCATCTCTGCGTTTTCCACACTTTGTCTGGGACTTCGTTAAAAACATGACTGTCTTCCCATAATGGTGGCATAAAAGAAAGTTTTGGTTGTAGGAAGAAAAGGTGAAGAATGAGGAACATTCAAGCCTCAAAGGATATCCTCTTCTTGCATGTACCTGGCCAAACTTTCCTTGGCTAACCCCTTCAGACTCAGCATCTCTGGCTTTGCCTGACAGACAGACAACTGGCCAGTTCTGACGTGGTGCTGGAGCCAGCTAGCTCTTCCTCAGCTCCGCGCCGGGAGTGGGACACACCTCGGGAGCAGGATGAGATGAGGCGCGGCTTAGAGCCAAACTCTATGGCACTTCAAGCTAGTCAGGCGCAGTGTGGCGGCAAGAACGAGTGGAGATCTTTGTATGGGTTTAGTTGAGTTTAATCTCCAAAGGACCCAGGGACAAAAGATGGAAGACACAGCCTGTGCAGCAGCTTATTATAGATGGGGAGGAGTAAGGGGCAGACACAGATCATTGACCAATAGGGAAGACTTAGGGGAGGATTTTAAGGTGGAGCTTAGAAAGCATAAACCAATGGGGAAGCTTAGGGGGCAGGAACAGTTTAACACAATCCAGTGAGATATCAAATATAATATGACCGACAGGGAGGATTCCAGAACAAAGGGTAGGAACTAAGTAAAACTGACAGGGAAGGATCTGGATAAAGGGGTAGGGTTACAGTGACTGATAAGGAAGGTACTGGAAAAAGGGGTTGGGATACAATGATTGATGGCAGTGAGGAGGAGGATGCAACTTGGAGCAAACCAACATCTAAAGGGGAAAACAGAAAAATTTATACAACAAACTTTGAGCTTATTAAACAAAAACACACCACCACACAGTTCTTTTGCAGTGACCATGTAAATGAGTCCCCAGCTCTGTGTCACCACTTGGCTAACTAGAGCCTTCAGATCCCACTGCATTTGAATATCTGGCACTATACTCTCTAGCTACCTTTAGGGTATCTTCAGTCCTGAGAACTCTAGAGCAGCCACCACCTGAGGGTCACATACTCACTAATTAATTTCCTTTGCAAGGCAAATGGACTAGAGCTTTCAGCAAAACTCTGCTAAACTGTTCTTTCTTTTAAGGGCAGAACTCTCATTGGCTGGGAATCACCTGTAGGACAATCTGTATAGACAGTCATACTGAGGAAAAGAAAAATACATGTCTTTCTGTAATTATGGGTCTTTTTTGAGTGTGTTACCCATACATTTCACAATTTATTTTTCTTTGCCACATTTAAAGAATGCTGGACTTTGCACTGCTGAAAAAACCAAGGAACTGCTCTGCTCATGGGTTTTTGGTGAAGTAAATCTATCACAAACATAAAGAATTTCTGTAAGGAGAAAAGAGAGGGGCAAATAAACAGAGTTCATTTTATGCAGGCTCAAAACAGTATTGGACAAAACTGTTCTGGTTTTTGCCTGTCATGGTTTGCCAAAAGGTAATAGCTCAATGCATTTAAAGCAATAGGTCATATATACCCCTGTTGGGAACCTTTACAAATGTTTTGTTCCTGTCCTTCACAATAGCTGCAGAGGGAAATTTTTTTCAAAGGCAAGATGATGGGGGTTTTAACAATATTCTAAACTGGTTTTGGTTCTATCAGAGAGCTGAATCCGGTTTTCTTCCCTAACCATCAACCCTCACTTGCTTATGATATGAAAATGCATATCTGCAAGACTGTCTTTGCCTGCTACCAAATGTGCTTTGGGTGTGTTGGTGCAAAATGCATTACATTGTTTACAGCTGGTGTTTCTTACTCATTTAGGGTTGCTGTATCTTTCACTGGTTTCACATTGTCAGTAGTAGACTGATTTCAGGTGAGAATTCTTGGTGTTTCTAGATAAGGAGGCCTCTTTTGAATAGGGATAGGTTCACTTGTGATTTTTTTTCCTTTCTATCCCACATATTTTGTTCTTAGTCTTGCATATTTCTGGTTTTGTCATAGTAAAGTGAAAAAAACAGAGTGCTTAGTTCTAGAGTTCTTATTCCATTTCCTTTTCAAATCTTATGTTATTGGAAGAGTAACAGTGAAAAGCTGCTTTGGCGTTGGGAAGGTAGATTTAACCGAGTGAGACAGAACACACCTGTGTGCACACTCGACTAGCTGGAACCAGGTTAGTTGAGAAGTTACTGTAGCCTGAAATAGACTTTCATGTCGAAATAAAAGGCACACCGAAAGCAGTAACTTACTGTAACGTACCCCACTTTGCAGTGGGCGAAAGGGGGCATGACGATTTCCAGAACGAGGATGGAAACGGAAAGGAAGCAACGCTTCCCATCTCCCCCTGCCGCGGGACATCGCGGGGCGGAGGAGCGCTCGTGGTGCAGGGGCGGCTGGGGGCCGTTCCCCGCCGTTCTCTGCCGCCGGCATCGTCCAGGAGCGCCGAGGCCACGCTCGCCCAGCGCCGTCCAGGGAAGGAAGGCGGCGGCCCCGCGGGCGGCCCCGGGCAGGGCTGTGCCGGGGGCTCGGCGCG